ACACACACACATCTATATACATACAACAAGAACAAGAATAATTTACCCACACAAACATTTCCAGATTTGCATACACATATAAACTTGCATGGATCTACATTCATGCACACAAATAATAGTAATAATAATAATAATAATAACAATAACAATACATGAATAGAAAATACAGTGATTGTTGTGAGTTTTTTTTAAATCTTATCATCAACGTAACTAGTTTACTCTGACACCTACTAAAATTAGCATTAAATCACTTAATGTTAATACAACACAAGAGATATCAAGATAACAACACAAAAGTAAAGCTTTCATTTCATACCAGAATGCATTTCAACTAAACATTATGATTACGTTATACGTGTTTTGATTCCAATAAGACATTTAGTATATTTTGTGGCCCACAATATCCACGCATTTATTTTGAAGCGACAGTCTGCTCGTTTCCGGTCGTCTTCCGATTAACGCATGGTAACTTGACCTACCTGCACGCTCCTGTCTGTGTGACAGCAGCTGACGGCCATGCGCGTTCACGAAAAATCCTGGACAGATTGTAGGTTGTACGCGCACACGCAGTGGCTGGTGTGCGCACGCGGGTACGCGCAAATAAATATCAGGCTACAGGAAGTCAGCTGAACACATAATAAATCAGGGTCCGACGTTAAGGTTTTTTCCTACTTGCCCTGCCGGGCAAGTACTTCTCAAATCTACTTGCCCCATCTAAATTCTTACTTGCCCTGCCTAAGAGGTTCTTTTTCTGGCTGTGTGGTGCATATTTTCGCTTATCTTTCCCACCCCCAATCAAAAAAAAGGCGTCAGATATTTATTTTATAATTATATAAAGGTTTCTATTACTATTTAGGTTATGCTCCTGACAACAACAGCAACAAGAAAAATAATATAATAGAGCTTCATTTTTTTTATATAACAAAAGGATATCTGAGTTTTTCATTTGTATGTGATATATATTTGCTGCACACACGTCTTTATTATTATTTTATTTCTTAGAAATAGCTATATGAAAACTTTTATTTGATAAGAAAATTATAGTTACATAGGGATGCGAATAACTTTTTTTTTGATAGGCTAATTGAATCAATCAATCATTTTGTCCCAGTGTATCCATTCCAGTTTTAAAGCTCAAGGTATCATCTTTAAATGTCTTGTTTTGGTCCATCTAAAACCCTTAAGTCAAATATATTTACAATTTGAAATTATATAATCTGGGCTACTTTAAGGGCAGTAATACTCTTAATGCAGGATTTTTAATTCAAACGGAGTATTTCCATAGTGTGGTGCAAGTACTTTTACTTTATCTGAATACTTTCTCCACCACAGTCAATTAGTTGACTCATCGTTTCCAAGTTAAAGCTAAAAATCTTGATGACATGGACGAGCAATTCAGTTTCAGGAAAAGGCATTTTAATGTGTTTTGAAAGTATGAGGTGAAAAAATACATATTCTCATTGTTGTTGCTGTTTTGTACAGTTGATTTTATTATTGGGAAAATTCCACATACAGAAGAACTGGTGGGCGGACTCCAACTCCAACTGTGTTTGAAGTGTTCTATTAAGAAATGCAACAATATGACACCACAATAAGAGGCCTTCAGGATAAAAAGGCAATAAAAACGTACAATGTGTTTGAAAAACTCATATGAAGCGATGGTACCTTATTCTGGATCTAGTTTTTCATTATTTTTCTTTTTTCTCTTTATTTCCTTTTTTAGTATTATTTTTTCTCTGTATATATGTACCTCTGGTATGGATAGTTCTGTGCTTATATAATATATTATATGTATATGATTTACTTAGGCTAAAAAAAACACCACCACCACCACCACCACCAACAACAACAACAACAAAAACCCATCTTAATAGCTGCTGAGGGCTTTTATTGTGAAGGTGTACTGTAGTCTCCTCGGACACTGACGTATTTCCCTTTTACATGAAATTCCACTCAGCTGGGAGACACCTAACTGAAAGCTTCTCTACCTCCTATCAACCTATATCTTACATATATAAAACAACCTTAATAACAGTCTCGTGAATTACTTTTTTAAACTCCCTGAAATTTAAACAACAGTTGTGTGTGCGTGTCACATCGCGGGACTTTGTCGTTTGTCCAGTTTCAGGACATTTTAGTTACCAAATCTGCCCCCTCCGGGACGTGCTAACGTTAGCTCAGCGGCTAGCCACCATTCACTCTTCAAGGAAAAAAACGATTAATCAACATCGTTGTAATCATGGATCAAACAGGAGTCGCAGCACAAACTCCAAAGGTAAGAATATTTTCTGTGAAGTGGTTTGTCCTGAAGTTTTTCGATTATTTAAATTGATGAAGCTAAGTCAGTTAGCTACCTAGCCTGCTCCCGTTAGCGAGCTAAATTCAGCCTTTTAAGGACAAGTCTTTCAACGAGGCCATGTTGGATTAACACAATTCTTATAAAGTCAAAATATAAAATACACAAAGCCAACTTTCTGACAACACAAGGCCCTTGTAATTTTTTTTAAATGAACTACGCCTTTATTGTAAATACTCAAAATAGATGTGTGTAAGTTGAAATGTACTAACTTTTAATTTATATTGAAGGTTCTGATAATGCTATTTACGTTTATTTAGTATATTGTTTAGTTTTGTCATTTAAAATGTATACACTCTATTTTCTTATTTGTCATTGTTTCATTTTAAATACATTTTATTTGTCCTACTCGGACACATGGATTTTAATTTTGCGTGTACATTTGTTGTTAAGAGGGAATAAACAGTTCTACTTAAAGAAGAAGGAAACGACGTAAGTACTTTTTGTAAACCTGAAAGGAGCCTCCACAGAAGGCCTTAGAGCTCCTAATCATTTTTAAAATCTTATCATGGTGTGAGGACTCTACACAGCTATGAGCCAACAGTTAGTAGATAAGTCTTTTTTCCTTTTATTTACCATATATTTGATGAACATACTGTTGTTAAATATGTCTATGTGAAATTTTTAATTTATATAAATATATAGCTTTTGTAATTATAAATAATTTAGCCTGTTAATCGTGTGGGCGTTACCTCAAAGATACGTCAAAACCTCGTGGGCAGGGCTCAGCCCAGACATGTCTGAACTTGTCACAGCTTCACTTCTGTTATTATTTCTGTCCAGTTATGACTCACTCTGTGGGTTAATTATACTGGGGAGTTACACTGTACCAGTGACATAATGAGGTGTGTGGTTTGATAGCAGTCAGACTCACTTAAGTTTTTAACTAATTTAACTTAAGAATTGAATAAGATCTAGGTTTTGTCCTCCTCTTGTCTTTCCATGTGATTTGTTAAGTTTTCTACAGTATTAGTAACTCTGAACTACATGCACAAACAGATAAATCATGTCAGTCACATATCAAGTAAAACCTCCAAATATTCTACAGTTCTAACAATTTTCTCTTATGACCGTAAAGTTTCTTTGACTTTTTACCATAGTTTGGACAAAACAAAAGATTTAAGGTGTGACCTTGAGCTTTGAGAAGTTGTATCAGTCATTTTTTTAAACAAGTTTTTGTCATTTGCAGATCAAACAACCAACTGGTTAATAAAGAAAATAGCTTATATAAAGTTTAGAGTGTTCAGATATTATCGCAAATGTTATAGAGTACGGCTGCACAATAATCAAAAACACATCGCAATCATTTTTACAGATATTGCGATTGTGATATCAGTCAAAATTAGGATGAAAACTAATTTTGAGATTTAATTTTTACAGAAAAAATGATGTGATATTTGCTGGGGTCTGTAACAAACAAGTATGTTGTCTTACATCTGGAATATGATTTGTAGGTTTGTGCCTCTCTGTAGCATGAAAATGCTTCATGTTTACTTGTATGTTGTTACACATTTTACCTTTTTATTAAAAAAGAATTGTAGCTCCTGCTCTTTTTCACAGAGCGCTGTTGATTCAGCTTAATGATCATTTGAAGAGCATGTAGTTTGTAGTGTGGAGGGGTGTTTCTAGGATTTAGTCTACCTTCATTAATATACTATATGTGGTATATTTGACACACAAGATTGAACAAAACTTAATATCATAACTTTCACAGTGTGTGAAATCTAAAAACTATGGACTGATTTAGATGCACATAATTAAGCAGTGAATCCACAGAATTTAATGGTCTTTAAATCAGGTGAGTGTGTGGTCCTCAGTGGGATACTAATAAAGTGTGTGTTTTTTGTTTTTATTCAGAGCCCGTGGGGTTCGGTGGCCCCGGCGCCTCCCGCCTGCTCTCTGACTGATGTGATGAGCGAGCAGCTAGCCAAACAACTGGACGAGGAGAACAACATCTTCCCTGCACTCACTGAGTAAGCTCTCACCTGCTTCGTCTGTCTGTCTGTCCTTCTGTGTGTGGGTGTGGGTGTGCGTGCTACCCACCTGTGTGACAGTACTTTGAAGTTGCTCTTCTAAATAAATCTGCTATGTGTGTTTACTATCTTCAGTTTTAGTCAACAACTGAAATGCAAACATAACAACTAATATAATGTACAGGGGAAGAAGAAGTGTAAAATTCTTCATCACACCAAATTATTTCTGTACTGTAATTACTGCAGTCTGAATCCTACTATAGGGGTGTTTCAACACCAAGTTCCTGGGGCTTTTAAGGCTTATTTATATTTGTATGCAGGCTCTATGCAGAGCCTGCACTGTTTATGAGTTATTTTGTGAAAATCTCCTGCTTGCTTACTATTGACCACAACTTTATAACACCAGAGTGACTTCATTAAAGTCTAAACAGCACAAACATTTGGAAGTTCAAGCAATTATTTATTTTAGTCTCCTAAGTTCTTGTGGTGTTTAGCTTAACATTGTAAATTAATGTAAATCCTTGTGTCTTGCCCTATTTGTTTTTCTGTTGTTTTACTTTGCGTCCTTTCTTAACCCTTTCTTTTTGTCTTTCAGTCCGGGAGCAGATCTGTTGTCAGATGAAGTTTGTGATACGACCAGCGACCTGATGCTCGCCCAGATGCTGCAGATGCAGTTTGACCGCGAGTTTGACGATCAGCTCCGCCGCGAGGAGAAGAAGTTTAATGGAGACAGTAAAGGTAATACCACGCAGGAGTCTGACATATTTGACACTCGTGTGAAAATACATTTACCACAATTCCTAACTGAGGTGATTGAAATGTTCTATTCAGTGACATTTTTATTGTTTGTGTCCAGTATCCATCTCCTTTGAGAACTACCGAATGGTCCACCCATATGAGGACAGCGACAGCTCAGAGGACGAGGTGGACTGGCAGGACACAAGACACGACCCCTACAGAGCAGGTAACTCACCTGCAGTGGGTGGACAAAATAACAGAGACACCTGACAGTACCGCACAGCCCTTAGCTTGGTATGTTGGGTTCCACTGAGACAAATCAATTGTTCTGTTCTGTTTTAGACTTCTTTATCCACATCACGAATTGTGGTGCGGAGAGAGAGCTGCTGGAGCTCCAGATGTAAACACAGCAGACCCATTTACCAACATGGGATCTTTAGTTTTTTTTTAAGAGAGCAGCAGTGGGCATACTTATAGCTGAGCTAGGCAGAAATCTGGAAAGGCAAGAAAAAAATGGTAGAATTTGAAAATACACCCTCTTCCTGCAACTCTCTTCTGTCTTTCCTAAGCCCCTCCCACCACATGACCACGGGCACATGCACATGATTCATAGAGTAACCCACTGTTTCCCATACATGGATTTATTTCATCTTATTTCATTGTAGAGTTATCTGCAGCTCATGCGTTCAGCCCCTTAGTGCCCGCTCTCTCTCTCTCTCTCTCTCTCTCTCTCTCTCTCTCTCTCTCTCTCTCTCTCTCGCTGTTTATCAGACCACAAATGAAACAAGAATTAGCTGCTAGCCACCCCACAGTTCCTCCACCTCGCTCCTTGCTGCCTCCCAAGGAGGAAAGCAGGCAGCATTTGTTTGGCAGCATGAATTTGGCATGCATGAGGTGGTTTGTTGTGGTGAGGAGTGAGGTGAAGGACAGACTGTGATTCAAAGTTCAAGCTAAAGTTAGCTACATGAACATGAAGCCGCAGCCATGAGCCTTTGGCTTCGGTCAGCAGAAGGCTAAACTATTAGCAACATTTTCTCTCAATCCCTGGGGCGCTTCGCCGATACTGACTCTATTTTATTTTATAACCTAACAGATCTCTTTTAGACTCTTTTGGATAAGTCCATCTTCCTTTTTTGGGTTGCTTTGCTGTGTAGGCAGTTGTTGCTGGAATAGCAACATTTTCTGCAGGATTCTCCACCGCTGAATCAGACTTTCACCGTCTGAAGTGATGTGCACACACATCTGCATTTGTAGAACAGCCAACAGGAACGCTCTTTCTCTGAGATGACCTGTAATTGGCCAAAGTTTCCCGTCACAGGCTAGATTTTATAAAGCCTGAAAACAGAGCCAAGAGGAGGTGCAGAAGTCTAGTTGTCTCTCAGACCACTTGAATTACAAATGCTCATAAATTATTATGGGATTTAAATTAATCTGCCTATCACAGCATGAACGCCACAAAATATTGACTTTTTTTTGTTTTGTTTTGTTTGTGAAAAGTGTCAAACACTGACTTATGCTGACTTATAAGGTGTTTCGTTTTTTTGTCCTGCTGCTTTTTCACCCTTGAGTGCTGGAAATATACCTTTGTAGTGTCTTGTATTGTTGCTATTGATGAAAGCAGAGCACAACTTGATGTCTTAAATCAGAGTTGGAAGGGTGGTGACTGATTCATCTGATTCCTCCTCACTGTAATTGGATTAAATCTGTCCCAAACAAGCTGTATTTGACAGTCTGTGATTTTGTTATCACACAGGATCTAAAGCTGTCTGTGTGTCTGTGTTTGCTCTATCAGAAAAGCCTCAGACTACTCCCAGGAGAGGCTTCACCGGGAAGGGCAAGAACATCACCACCAAACATGACGAGGTGACATGCGGCCGCAAGAACACAGCGCGCATGGACAATGTAAGACACACACTGTGTTTATATTTATTCATACGTTCATACATACTCAAAAAACAAAAAACAAATAGTCTTCATTTTTATGTTTGAACGTTAGAGAAACATGAAATGTGATTCCCCCCCTAAAACCTGTTGTATTTACACCCTCTCCTCCTTTGGCAGTTTGCGCCAGAGGTCCATGTCGGCGATGGGTTGGGGATGGACCTGAAGTTGTCCAACCAGGTGTTCAACTCCCTGAAGCAGCACTGCTACAGTGAGCAGAGACGCAGCGCCAGACTGCATGAGAAGAAGGAGCACTCCACTGCTGTAGGCATTAATTTAATTGATTAATTCAATAGATATATAAAAATAACGTACACATGTTGTTTCTCAGTTACACTCAAACTCTCTTCTTTCTTAGGAACAAGCAGTGGACCCTCGCACTCGTCTGCTGATGTACAAAATGGTGAATGCCGGCGTGTTGGAGAACATTAACGGCTGCATCAGCACGGGAAAGGAGTCGGTTGTCTTCCACGCTGATGGAGGGAGGTGGGTGGATGTCATTAGGTCCAGAAATAGTCTTAGGTCTTTTCCACAGGGAAACAGATATTTTGTCTTTTAAACAAAAAATTCTTCTACATTTTTGTCCTCAAACCGAGTTTTAAGTTACTAAGACAGATATTTTTGAAAACATTGCTTTTTGTACTAAACATGTGCCTGACACAACAACAACGGCAGACTAACAGTTTTGTTTTGTAAAGTGTGCCAGCAAGTTGTTAAAAAAAAAGAAAGAAAAAGAAATAACCAAAAGGACTCAAAGCTGTCTGTTGAATCTGTTTGTCAGTTTGGAGGAGCAGCCTGTCCCTGAGGAAGTGGTGCTGAAGGTCTTCAAGACAACTCTCAATGAGTTCAGAAACAGAGACCGCTACATCAAAGATGACTACCGCTTCATCGACCGCTTCAGCAAACTGAACCCACGCAAAATCATTAGGCTGTGGGCTGAGAAGGAGATGCACAACCTGAGCAGGTAAACCCTCTCCTACTGGTACTATTGGTTCTACTGGTCCTCCGGATGCTGGGACTGGTTTTATTTCTTCTGTCTCTTTAAAGGGAAATTATTATTGTAGTTTGGGACTTTTGGTCCCCAACAACATAACACATGAATTCCTGTTATTCTATAAGATATTAAACTTCCTCTCTTGGTGTTTTTTTTTTTTAATTACATGAACAGCATGTTGATTTTATTTGCCTCACCAATAAGTGCATACATTGTGAAATATTCAGAAAGCCTTTATTAGATGTTAAAAAAAAGCATTGTGTTTTTTTAACTGTGTGTGTGTGTGTGTGTGTGTGTGTGTGTGTGTGTGTGTGTGTCTGTGTGTGTGTTCTCAGGATGAAGAAGGCAGAGATTCCCTGTCCAGAGGTGGTGCTGCTGAAGAAACACATCCTGGTGATGTCATTTATTGGTAAAGATCACGTTCCTGCTCCTAAACTCAAAGACGTCACGCTGAGCTCAGAGGACATGAAGAATGCCTTCTACCAGGTCCTACATGTACGTACACAGTACAGCAAGTACTACTCTCTGTACTGGATGTATACTTAATGTCTAATCATTTCATCTATGATTCATCTTTAGATTGTTTTCTGTTTGTTTCTAAAAAGTCAGAAATGTCAGTCACATTCACATAATTTTTAACTGATTATTGAATTAATGGGTCCAACAGTGAACATACAGTAGAACTTCACAGTATGTGCCAGCTCTCTTATACATTAATTTAAGTTACACTTATTGGATGACAGGTTTTTCTAATTTAAGTTCCATCAAGTGGATTTCTTCAACTTTATTAATTCAATAATTTTAAGTTACGTTTTGTTGTCTCTCAGTCATGTTTCAATTTAACAAAAAAAGACAAAATCTAAATATATAGTGTTAATGCAATATTGAAATACAGTCTAAAATTAGCAACAAAAAAACAATTTAAAGCAGGAAATATCTAACCAAAGAATAAAACCAAAATCTGAGCAGATGTCTGATACTACTTTTAGTACTTCACACAACGATAATAATAATAATAACAATAATAATGATAATAATATTACATTTTCAGGGTGATGGGAATCTGGCACAGTGCCAGATTTCCGGCGTGTGGCTATTGGCGAGGAAAAAAAAAGTTGATGCAGGATACATGCGTGCGTCACAGACAGTAGATGGGCTCTGGTAGAAGCGCTTTAAACGGAGACCTCTCACTCTCAACCTATGGCTTTCGCCCCCAACCAGACCAAAGTTAGGCTACTAGCCAGTCAGAAGTGGAGTGGGGGCGGGTCTTGGGCAAAGGAACAAACTTGGTTCAGAGCCATCTTCAGATTCTAGTGGAGCCCATGCCATAGACACTCTCATCAAGATTGAAAGTAAGTTAATGAAACCCGGGGAAAACATCCAGATAGTTGATAAAGGACTCACAAATAAATGGCGTTGGGCGTGCGTAGAAGAGATAGGCATAGATGGAAAACCTTTTGGGAGCTGGTGCAAAAAATTAAGGGAACCGGTTGCGTGTTTCTGCATATTGTGCCCATGTAAATTGATGTATGCAACCAGCGGTAAGAAAGTCCTATCATGGCATGAATTAGACCACGGTCATAAAGCTGCTGTGCGTGCAATTAAGCATGTAACGCGTTAACCGGAAGCTGCAGTCACCGCTGACATACCGGCGCAGGATGTTGGCTCTGTATGAATGTATTGCCATCAATAGGCTCGTTCAAGATGAACTGCGCCTCGCAAGGAAAGTAGACGAGAGCAGGCGGCTGCAGCAGGGGGCAGTGACTAAAAGCTGCTGTCAGGTTGGACAGTTTGCGGACAGTTTCCAGCAGCCTTCAGTCCGTACAGGAAGTCACAGAGACACTTATATCATGTCCGATACGATGTCAGTTTATTAGAATATCGTCAGACTTCTATACAAGTTTGTTCTCAGTCTCCAATTGTTTTCATTATGAAAGATTAATTTATTAATGCTTTACAGGTGATCTGTAATTTATGTTCATGGTTTAATCTCCATTTTATAGTAATTCATAAAAGCATCGTATCGGTTATAGTAATTCATAAAAGCATCGTATCGGTTTGCTGCTGCGGAGCAGACCTGTCCCCTCAACTACAGAGGCTAAATAAATTGTGTCTGACTATAAGGTTAATATTTTTAGAGGGAAAACAGTTTTCATTAAAGATCAGTCAGATGTAGTCAGGGCTTCACATCTGTACAGATGTTATTTTAAGAATCCTCACATCCCAGTGGCCACCAGTCTCTGTGATGATAAATACTTCAATAACTAAAACAGTCCAGTGTTAATATGCAGTGGACTCTGTATAGTTTATGATGAATGTATTTAGTCTGTGACGACTAAACTTCACCATCAGTCACACATGTTTTCTGTTCACAGAATAAACCTTCAAATCAGACAAATAAAATTTAAATATCTGAAATTCAACAAAAATTAGTTAAGTTAATCTAAAGTGGCATGTTGTTGAGTCGACATCTAAACCAATCATCAGGTGAGAGCCAGGCGGTGCAGTCGTGGAGAACAACTGCAGTGTGTGGTTCTAAAAAGTGCGGCCGCCTCACTCCCACTTTTGTAATACGTCAGAGCAAGTTGGACACAAAAGTAAGTGGCATGCATTGTGCGCCGATCGCTAGTGATCAAATCTGCGCAGGCCTGGCTCATCTTGAACGAGCCTTCACACAGAGCGCGCAAAGCGCAGACCTCCGCCGACGAACCCATTCATTGTGTATGTGCTACCTTGGCGCAAGAGCGCACCGCTCTGCCGCCGAGCTGAGCAGCGCGCGAGAGGGTGCATGCCGTGGCGTCTGCGCGCTGCCAGCCTGCGCTCAAATTGAAAAATTTTTAATTTCACTGCAACGCATTGTGACGACACCTCGGTGCGTCCAATAGCAGAGAAGAGCCTGAAGTAGACCCGGAAGCGGTCACCATGGAGCTGTAGCTCCTGAACGAGCCTGTACTCCCCAAATCCTGTCTTGCGTGCCTTGCTCTCAGCTTGCTCTGCGCCCTACCCCGTGGTGGGCGCCACGAAAATCGCGCTCTGTGTGAAAGAGGCTTAATGGCTGGGCACCCCAAAATGCACCAGATTTCAGGAAATTCCATCAAATAAGTCCAAAAATTACCGACCCATTCCTCATGCCTCAACCTGAAAATTTTTTTCAGGCTTAGGATTTTTTTTTTGCTATCAGCCCTGCATTTATTTACACAGCACTTTTTAGAATAATACTAAATAATATTAATAACACTTCTATTTATCCAGTACTTTTCAAAGTATAGATAATAATAATATTAATAATACATGTATTTGTACAGTGCTTTTCAAAAAATAATTAATAATATTAATAATACATGTATTTATTGAGCACCTTTATAATAATAATATTATTATTGATGATAATAAAAATAGTAATAAAATACATGTATTCATGCAGCACTTTTTAAAACAAAGTTACAAAGTGCTTTACATGGTTGAACCAGGATTAAACAAGGCAAATAAATCTGAAAAATACATAAAACACCCAACAATTAGGACATTCAACCTTCATAGAAACAAAAGCTAGAAGTCTTCAAGTGCATCTCTTTCAAGGGAAAGTGTGTTCAGCACCAAGTGCTTTGTGGTTTTTGGCATTATAATACTACGTTATAGCATGTAAATCTACTTTTTACCTTTTGAAATGTGCAGGTGATGCAGCAGTTGTATCAGGAGTGTAATCTGGTTCATGCTGATCTCAGTGAATACAACATGCTGTGGCATGAAGGGAAGGTACGTCATCTTTCTTTAATTGTATCTTTTATGAATTGCATTCTGTCCTTCACTCTCTTCGTCCCTTGACTCTTTAGTCCTTTAAAGTGCTTTAAAGGTATCTTCCATCCTTCCTTGCTATCCTCCTTTCAATTCTTCTGACAGTACATTTCTTCATGTCCTCCTCCTTTCTTCCCTCCCTTCCTTTCTTTTTTCTTTACGTGTCACATCTACCTCCTCTTCGTTCTTCTGTTTTACCCCTGCCATCTGTGCCTTCCTAATTCTTTTCATTATTTTACTCCTTGTGGCTTCGCTCTTTTCCTCCCCCCTTCTCAGATTGTCCCTCATGTCTTCCTCCATTTTTACATACTTTGTTTTGGTTCTTTCTCCCTTTTCCTTCTTTCTCTTTCTCTTCCCCTTCACATTAGTTTTATGTTAATTTATTGATTCTTTTCTCCTGCCTTCATACAGCCGAAATGAGTCAACCCTTGTTGCCCACCACAGTGCTGTTTTAATATATCTGTGTGTGTGTGTGTGTGTGTGTGTGTGTGTGTGTGTGTGTGTTGTAGGTGTGGTTGATTGATGTCAGTCAGTCGGTCGAGCCTACCCATCCTCACGCCTTGGAGTTCCTCTTCAGAGACTGCAAGAACGTTTCCACGGTAACAGCCAATTTCATCTTACACATGCAGCTATTTTTTGATAGATTTCTGATCCAAAATCCTGTGAAGTAAAAGTTAAAGTGGCTGTAAAACCTGCAGGGTTCACATTGAAAACATGCACATTTTTATACACACTTTGATCTGATGTTTGTGGGAGTTGTGATGGGGTATACTGAGATCTTCTATGTACATTATTAATTTCATATCCCCTTCTCATTATTTTCTGTCCCTTTGTTCTAAATAAGAAGCAGAGCAGGAGGTCACTTTGAATGTTAACAGGCAACATAACAATAATAGGGAGTTCTAATGTTATTACAAAAGCCAGAAAAATGTATTTAGTTCATTCATGTTCAGACTAAAGCCAAAATGATTGCTTTATTTTAATGTTATTGGTCTCTACTAAAAAGGAACAAATCATAAGTTAACTGACAGTCAGGATGTGACTTGTCCTTTGGAAAAGTCCAAATTGTTCAGATTAAATTCATTAAAAGAAACGGCAAGGGATTTATTTTGGAGCTGATTAACTCTATTTAACCAGTCAACTGCCACAAAATAAGTCAGTTTCGTTTTTCCCCATCATAGAAAATATTTGTGCATATTTATTTATTTATTTATTCATATATTTCATATTATTTGTCATTCTTGTATGTTGTTTGTTAATACGTAATTATTTATCATTTTATTTTGTAGTTATTATTTTATATATTTATTTTAGACTTGCACCAATTAATCGGCAGTGCTCGGAATTGGGCCGATTTTCACATGATTGGCCATGACCTGCGACCGGCCGGTCAGTCTAAAATATACCGATTTTAAAACACCGGTCAAATTCCTGGTGTGCCGCACGATTGACATCGTGTAACATCAGCAGCGATATTTTTACTTTTTTATCTATCCAAGAAATTACCCACAAATGCTATACACCAATAATTATTATTTTATTTATCTATGTTTTTATTTATGTATGCATTTTTTACTTATTTATTTTAATACTGTACCTGAAGTTATATTTAGGTAAAAAGGAAAATGTTTCTTAAAGGGCCAGTGTGTAATATTTGGCATGGTTTATTGTCAATCTGAATCTGAATATTCT